CCTGTTTAATAGGTTACTGGGATTACAAATATAAAATGAAATTATTCTTAGTTTTGACAGTTCCTTGGTCATTATCCTTTAGGAGAGTGTTTCTCAAAGTGGGATTCTGGGGCCCCTTCAGGTGGTTTGTGAGTTAGATTGATGTTTATATAATTTTACTATATATACTTTTGCGCCTGGCAGGAGCCCAAACTATCCTGATGGTTATTTAGAGATGGGTTCATCATTGATGTTTCGTCTTCATGTTATTCTGATGAAAATATTTTGGCAGTTAAGAAGATAAGGAAATGCGGCGTCCAGGGTATCAGGGCCTCTACAGATGTGCAGAACCACCTACTAGGGCAAGGCATCTGCCATAGGAGGAGGGAACCTTCTCTAGGATTGGCTTAGAACAGAATGGCTTTCCCATGTCCAAAGTGATACTTTGCTGTAGTGAAACTGAGAAGGTAGGTGAAAAGGTAGGTACATGTACAGTCCTTTTGCTTGGGAATGCTTAGTGCCCAGCAAGTAATACAAAATGCTCTCCTCCCAAAGCGATGCTTTGGCACAGCTCCCACCAGGAAAGAGACTGGGCAGGACAATGGAAGAGAAGCAGAAAGAAAGAATGAAATGAAAACATTGATAATGTGAAGCATTATTGCATAAGTACGTGTGTAAAGTTTAACAGATTCTTGATTCATGGAAATAAATTTCACCTGTGAAAACCAAGTTCCGCACTCCCACTATAACATGTCAGCGTCAACCTCAGCACTCCAATGTTCCTAATTCCTTCGCTCATTGTCACCCAGAGGAAAAATTCTTTGTTTTAATCTGCATTTGGTAGCTATACAAATTATGCTATGTATATTTCAGCAAATGTGTGTTCTCATGGATATTATGATCACATGATGAAGGGAGAGAAAGTTCAGGTGAACACGGGAAGGAAGGATACTGCGTTAGTACCTCTCCCCAGGACCACTGACGGCCTGTCTGGACCACCACCCAATGACCTTTCTATCAGCACAAGTAGAAACTTCAATTTGGTACCTAACCTTCATGACTGAAACCATTAGAAGGTTTTGGTCTAAGAGCTATTGACGCTTACGCCCATGAGTGGATATGTTTCTATGCTTTGATGTTCACTGCTGCTTAAAAGTTTTGTTTTTAAATGATCAGAGTTTATTTTAATTAGTGGAAAGTTTTAAAATAAGTAATTAATAATTTAAATCTCGAGTTTTCAATCCAGCAGGAAACCTCACACTCAGTTGTTCACTTTTACAAGGAGGATTTTCTTAAGGCATGAGGTGTATTAACAGGATGTTTGACTCTCTGGATCCGTACGGGGGTTTATCATACTCAGAGCACTTGGAATGTCTGCGTCTCATTTAGATGAGTATATACACATTTTCTCTACACCACGTTAAGTATTCACCACATTTTTACCATCATTGATGAATCAGCATAATTGAAAGTATCTAACCGTCATCTAACATGACGTTTTGGTTAGTTGTCTATAATTTTTCTTTTCCAAGTAAAGAATGTCTTTCTCCATGCTGACTCATTACAAATAACTCTTTTATTTCTGTTCTCTCTCCCCACAAGTGGTCCAGGTCCACATCAACAAGGTAAGGAAACACCTATGAAACACATAAGCAGCTAATTCTGACTGCATTGAGCAGAGCACACAGTTTGAAAGAAGCATGAGGAAGTGTACAGCAACCATGCATAAACAGCTTATGCAACCTTGTATTTATCACTCGTCTTTATGATATTTTCTTCTTTTGAAAGAATAGATGAATCCATGCTCAAAACCTTTCTAAAGCATTTTGAAAATACAGCTTTTTATGTGGCACTTCAAAACACGTTGGCACAACATGAAAAGTGACATTTGGTCTCTGGTTTGTGGAGGAGCCTTTACCTGTCCCTCCTCCATGGGCTCAGGGTTCCCAAGGAAGAGAAATGAGTGCCGACAGGCTCAGGGCCCAGGCTGGGTTTTCAGAATGGTGTCCTCATAATGACTAGTTCCAGGGGCAGGGGTGGCCTCTAAAGGTAAGCCCTGTTGCTGGTAGCCATAGTTGACATTGCCACATGGGAAGTGACGCAGCCTGAACAGGGGCACTTCCTTCATGTTGGCAGTCAGCGAAGATGGTTCTAGGAGTAGAGAGGCGCCTGGAAGTCTGCCAGTTGCAGTGTTAGGGGGGACAGTACAGCTTCCCTCACGTCCCAGGTTTCCTCTCTCCTGTTGCTCCTTCTTTGCTGGGGGATTGTTCTTTTTGGCGGGTTTCTCTGTAAACCATGAGCCATAAGTTGGGTTCCACAGGCTGGTTGGTTTGTTTCTGGATCCCTGGACTTTGTGCAGCTCTGATGGCGGGTTGGACTGAGAGAATGCCATATTAACGTGTCCCCCTTCCACGGCTGGCACTCTAGTGACTCGAACAGAGACCTCTGCAGCTGTTGGTTTCTTCGCGGCTTTGCCAGAGGCCGTGGAAGGCAGAGGCAGCGGGGCATCCTGCCCTTCCTCCCTTTTAGCTTGTGGAGGAGAAACTAGAAGAGGAGGAATCTCCTCAGGGTCTTTGGGCCGCATGGGCACTTTCTCTTCCTCGTCCATGAGGGGGCCGTATTCTATCGGCAAAGCAGTGTTGATCACATCTGGATCCTACAGGTAGGAGAAAAGAACTGATTAAAACTTTGAATCACAGACAAAAAATGTTGAATCTGGAAGATATCTTAGCAATGATCTCATCCAAACTTATTTTACAGATGAGGAAACCATTCACTGTTTATTGGGACTATATTAATTTACAGGCACTGGGAAATAAGAAACAAATGGGAAATCATCCTCATCCTTGGAGAGCTTCGAGGATAAGTGCTGTAAAAGAAGTGTGCACAGCTGCTGGGAAGCAGCCACCTGCCTGGGGTAGGGACCGGGGTCAGGAAAGGCTTTGCAGAGACCACCTTTGGGCAAATCTTACAGATTAATGGATTTAAAAAAAATTATAAATTAGTTTAAAAAATTATTCCAATCTATTTCCAATAAAATCATTCCAACTAAAAAGAAAAGTCTGTCTGCTTGACTTCAGGTTGTGTGTGTGTGCATGTGTGCGTGTGCGTGTGCATCCATGCGCACATGGGTGGGGGCGAGGGGCGGAGAAGAGAGGAGAGGGGAGAGAGACACACACCTGTTGGCTTATACAAGGTTTGTCTCTTGTTGTCTTCCTAGCTACCTCCCACTTTTATGATATTTGGATGGGTTACACTGGGTTATGACTCCTTCTATGCCATCATATCACTGCATGTGCAGATAGCACAATGCAGCCACTCTGTTCTTTATTTTGTATATAATGAGGCCCTTAGTGAAACCCAGGAAATACTGAAGTGCTGAGAGGAAAACCATTTACAAAACTAACAACTTTGTGCTAGATCATTTTTACAGCAATAGACTGTAATATAGAAAAGCAAAAACAGTTGCCAGAGATATGAGGGAAATTTGTGGAAGGAAACTTAAGCTTAGGGAAATTTAATTCTTTAATATTTTATGCAAATTGGGAAAACCATTACTTCAGTTTAACAGAAAAGCACATTGGTCCAGTATTTATCGATAAAGAGTTTAAGAATAAAAAACCTACCTCCCGATTCTCTTTTATTCTTTACTTCCTTCTCTGCTAATTTTTAATTTCTATAGTGAGTAGTCAAAATATGCTTGTATAGAACTACCTACTTTTAAAAAGGGATATTATATACTTTGGAGAAAAATTACTCCCAAGTATATATATTTAAGTGGGTATATTGCATTAATATTACAACATAATAACCGAAAATGCCACTGAACACCAAGTTCTCTGAAGGAACCCCAAATAACTTGATAAATGGAGTCCATCCAGATAAATGCCAGTCCGCTTACTTCCGAGCTGAAAGGACCCGAAAGGATGGAATCGTGAGGCCAAGAAGTGACTGCAGTTTGAAACGTATAGGTCTTTTGTCATGACTAAGATGAGGGAATTTAGAGACATAGTGGTTTATTGTTAGACTTCCGAAATATTCTGCAAAATTTAGATATTCTGGCAGAATGAGAGCCGAGAGAGGGAAAGGAGGCAGACACAGTGGAGGGGCGATAACTGGTGGAATGAAGGTCCCTGAGGGGCAGTTGGTGGTGCAGGTAGAGAGGTTCTCCTTGAAGGGGAGGAGGGCCACCACTTCCACTGAGGCGGGAAGGAAGGTGGTGAGGACGAGTGAGATGCAGACACAGGGAGGAAACCGAGGGGATTCCCACTTGATAGCCTCTCCACTCTTGAGGAGGTAGGAGGCATAGTTGTCTGCTGAAAATGGGGTAGAAAAGGGAAAATTTAGAGCCATTACTGAAGGAAATGGGAGAGGGATCTGCAGAGGGACCAGCGGGATTGCTAGGAAACTGTGTGGCTTGGACAACCTCTCTAAGCCTCAACTCCTCACCTGCAAAATGGGGATGTTTTATGTACCTCACTGAGGATAAAATGAGTACATGAAAAGTGATTTGTGTATTACAGATGCTATACTAATGCTACTGATAATGTTAACATTTCTCCAGATTACTTTGACCTTTCCTTCCTTTAATCCCTCTAACACACTGGACATATAATTTAACAGTTATATATTGTTAATTATTTCACATTATTAGTTCTTCAGCCAGGCTATGAACTCTTTGAGAGCAAGTGTTTTCAACACTAATTTGAAGCTCCAGTTTTGTCTAATAAAACATTAGGCACCCACGAGGGATTTAGTTAATGCTTATGAATTGAATTGGTTCCCTAATGTTACTGAGTTTCTGCCACTGTGTCACGTGCTGGTGAAGAAAGCAGCAGTTACTAGTATTTATTTACAAAACAGGCAAACTGAGATACCAATCGTTTTACTTTATAGATAAACATTCATTCTCATGATCATAACTCGTATTTTCTGGCTGGTTTAACTTTTATTTCACATTTTGGTATTTGCCATCTTTAAGACTCTTCCATATAAATAGTGGTCAAGGGGGAAAAAAGTGTTTATACCTGGGTACAGTATTCAATCCTCTCCAAAATTATGGCAAAGTTGGGCCTGTCTTCAGGCTGATGTTGCCAGCACTGGGTCATTATCCGGTATCTAAAAGAAGAGTAAGCACATTAATTACAGTCAGGAGAAACAAGGATGAAAAATACATTTTTTTCCCCCAGCACTTTTCTAAATGGGACCAGAGGTGGCACTGTCTTGGAGGGTGGCAACTCATCTAGGTCCCATGTGGTTGGCATATGCTGCCCTCTGCTGATGGGCCAAGGAATCGCGCCCAGGTGTAGAGGTGTTATTAAGACAGACATCCTGGTGTTTACATTAAATATGGCTCCTCTCATTCCATTCCTGAATTAAATGACCTCTGGGGCAGAATACTCTAATTACATTTCCTATCTTGCTTGTGGGAAGGAGGTGAGGGATGCCAGACAGGACAGCAGAAAATGCAGGGAATGGAAATACTTAAAGGAGACTCAGACATATGGTGTAGGGCAGCTGGAGTGGAGTCTGGGACACAAATTCCTAGGAGGTGCTTGAGGAGTGTGAGCCTGAGCCTCCAGCCAGACCATGGATACCTTTTTGGGCGTGACATTATTGCTTTCCAGGGGCCGGAAGACTAACCCATCTCCTTGAAGTCACAGACACGTTACTATCTTGGGGCATACTAAACAAGTTCAGCCACCTGCCCTTCATCTTAAAAGGAAAAAGCATATGTGGCTGCAGATATTTTCAGAAAAGGAAAACTGTGCTTAGTAATTTCTAGAAATGTTCCTAAAAGAGGCGTACACGGGCCCAGGGCAGTTCTTAGGTGGGTCCATCCGTCCTCCGCTGGTGACGAACTCCAGAACTTCCTGGTTGCTTTTGCTGGGGTACGGCATATATCCAAGAGAGAATATTTCCCACAGCAGCACTCCGAAGGACCTGTGCACAGGACAGAAGAAATGGATATGGATACACATACACACAGGCAGATACATACACAGACATACACGTACACACACACAGGGACACACACAGACACACATACACAGACACACGTAAAATTTTAATTTTTTTATCACACATATTTCTACAATAGAGAATTCTTAATTTGGAGAAAAATAAAAGAATGAGAAAGTAGCCACGTGCAGTGTTCCATAAAAAGACAACCACTGTTAGCATGTTATCTTTTTGTTCTAGTTGAGTTCCTGTGCTTAGATTTTTTTTTACATAATCGCAGTTATATTCAATATGCAATTTTGAATCTTAATTTTTTTTACACATTCCATTATAGCATAAACATTTTCTGTGCTAATACAAACAGAATTTGAAATGGCTGTGAAACATTCCATGGAATAGTTGAGCCATAATTTGCCTTATCATTTGCATATTATTTTCAATTTTTTAAATATTTAAAATACTGTGGTGAACATCTTTGTGCATTTTTTAAAAGGACAATTTCCTTAGGGTAAATTCCCCAAATTTAGGATTAGAATAATCTAGTAAAATCTAGGATAATTCTAATGGAATTACTAGATCAAAAGAATATGAACACTGAAAAATTCTTGACACATATTGTCCATTTTACTTCCAAATGTGTCACTCTGATCATCAACTAGCATTATGCAGGAATGCATCAGACACTCTCACTAACGTTGGGTATTCTTATTAAAAATGAGAACTTTTGCTAATTTTTTAAAAAAATAGAATATTTTAAATTATGTTAATGACTTGATAATTAACATCATTGAGTGTTTTCTCAAATATTTATTAATTCACTTCATTTTTTTCTCCTTTGAATTGTTCATATCTTTTGCCCATTTTTATCCACATATTGTTTTGATATCTGTCAATTTTCTTTTGGGTTTGTAGACATACTTTAAATATCAGAGATGCTAACCTTTTATTTAAAAACCAAATACTTCTGTAAGTTGCTTTCTAATTCTAATTTTTATTTATAAAAATACCAAAGATTTTTATTTTTAGGTAGTCATATCTATTTTTAACAAAATGTGTGATTTCCTCCATCTATTTTATAGATTTAGCAATCATCTCTTCACCAAAAATTAGATGAATATTTGCTATTTTATTCTAGTTGTATTTGTTTCTTCTCTCTTCTCAAATCCAGGTGAAATTTAGTTTGGTATATAGTATGACGTAAGGATCTAAATTGATTTATTTTTCCAAACAACCACTCTTCTAACACTATTCCTAAAATAATTTTCCCCTTACCTATTGACTTATGAGTAAAAATAGGTCTGTTTCTGGGCTACCTATTCACTTCATCTATTTGTCTGCCTCTTACATTGATGCCATTCTGTTTTAATTTTTGTGTATTTATGTTTTGATATCTGGTAGGGCATCTTTTTCCTATTTCTCTTTATTTAAAGAAACATACTTGATTTCTCATTTGTTATTTGTTTTAAATGAACCTTAAAATGATTTTTACCATATTCCAAAATCATTTCCTTTGATATTTTGACTAAAATTTTAATTTTAAACCTTTAATTTTATAATTAGCTTTTTGACAAAAAAAGCTTATCTTTGTTTTTGTATCTGGTTGTAGTTTTCTGATGTTAATAAATATTACCTCAAAAATTGTAGAGAACTATGGCTCCTCCATCTCCTAAGGAACACGAAGGACTTTTATTGACATCACCTTGGTGAAATTTCAAAGACTCTTGTGAGGAGGCTTGGGCAAAGATGTTTTCCATATTTTTCAGGTGAGAAGGCTGAAGCAGAGGTTATTATACAACTAATCCAAGACAGACTGGAATACATTATTAGATCTCATGATTCTGCTACCTACAAGTTGCCTGGCACATATATTATTCCTCTCTGTTTGGTGGTTTTTTTGCCCCCAAGGAAAAACAAAATAAGCGAAATCATGCAAGGAACTGGCAGCAAGGCCTAAAGAATTCTAGCTATATGTTTAGACAGAGAGAGAGATTGCAGTATCCTTTGAGACAACCAGTATATAGACTGCAAATAGATGTTTATTTTCTTGATTTAGAGTGTGGAAATTAATAAAAGAAACCTTAGCTAAATTGGAGTCGAGAAAGTCTGCAGCAGGGGCTCTCACCACCTGTCACATCGTCAATTACACCAAACAGGAAAAGATGGTTGCTTGCATCTTAGACAGGAAGTAGAGCTACTTTACTGCTGAAGGAAGACTTCTCTCCCCACCTGGCAACAGCCCAGCCAATAAGAATGCAGCAGCTCAGCCAATGAGAAGATGTTGCCACCCTGAACTGTTACTTTCCCCCAATGGATTTTCCTTTAGAACAGCCCCTCCATTTTCCCCCTTTTCTCTATAAAAGTAGCTCCCCTTATTTGTTTGCTGGATTTGCCTATGGTTTGCCATAGCATGCACATCCTGAATTGCAATTCTTTTGGCTATTCCCGAATAAACTCATTTTGAGATAAAATAATAAGCAAATTTACTTTTTAAGTTGAGAAGAGTTCAAGGGAACAAGAAGTAGTGTTGGTTATAGAACTTTGATAATTTCAGGTAAACAGAGTTGTCAGATTTAACAAATAACCATACAGGACAACTAATTAATTCTGAATTCCAGATAAACAAGAAATACTTTTTTAGTATAAGTGTATTTCAAATATTGCATGGAATATACTTACACTAAAAATTATTTGCTGTTCATCTGAAGTTCAATTTTAACTGGCCATTTTGTATTTTATCTAGCAATGCTACAGATAAGGTAAATCTATATTTTGTATGCCAGATGGTTCTTTAACATCTATGAGCCTGTCCTCAGTAGGACCAACAAGGCCCAAAGCTCTACACCAAAGCATTCAAAATGAAATAAAAACAAATATTTAATAAAAATCCCACTTTTTTTCTCTTGGTATTAAATTTAGTCTACTGGAAATTATAGAAATAGCTTAAATGATTGCTGATTAAATTGTTATTTTTAAAATTTGAATCAATGAAGATAATCTGATGGAAAAGTTTCAAAATCTCGAATTGTGCTGTGCTTATCCATCTTTTAAAGCTAAATTTTATTTTCCTTTATTTATAATCTGAAGGTGGAAGATTGTCTCCAGATGTGGTAGAGGGTGGGTCACACTTTTAGGAAAAATAGGAACCAAAAGTTACTGTGTTGTATTTAAAATTCCAGCCAGCTGATTCTGCTGTCTTTTGCAGTTTGCTTCAGGTTCATGTATTAGAAGTCTGCTCAAGATCTCCACTGGCCTATTTTAATGGGCAACTCAAACTTGACAAGCACAAACAGAACTCTTTCTGCACCCAAACCATCTCCTGCGTCATTCTTTCCAGTTCAGTGGTACCACTCAAGATGCAAACTGAGGAGTTGTCTTGATCTCCCTCTTTCTCACACCTCCCACTCCACATCCAACTTTCAGCAGTCCTGTAAACTCTCAAGATAGAGCTTGACCAAATTTAACCGCCTCCGCTGCCACCACTATGCCTAGTTCCTCTCACCTCTTATCTAGAGATGTGCAGTATTTTCCTAATTGGTTTCCC